CCCCTGTGCCCTGTAGGGCCAGGCAGGGCCAGAGGTCCAAAGGTGGGATTGGTGAGGTGAGATGAACGGGAGGAGATGGGGACCCTCGCTGCATGGAGGTACAAAAGAGCACCTAGTGAGCCCTGAAGGACTGCCAAGGGCCATGCATGCTCCACAGCCAGTCCCGCTGACCATCAGGGTCTCTTCAGGACCTTGGGGTAGCAGGGACTGTGCTGCCTCAGAGCATCACCCCCAAGGGCACCCAGTACCTAAGACACCCTTTCCCAGTCCTGAAGCAGGAAAGGGCAGTTAGGAATCCCCAGCTCCGGAGTGTCGGTTCCAGAAACTCCCTTTTATGGCTCAATGTTGGTTGCAAAATCTCCCTTTGTGCTCTGAGCTGGTGAGAAGAGTGGTATGTGTCACACCTAGGCAGCCGCATCCCTGAGCCCGCCTTGGCTGCACCTCCCAGAGCTTGTCACTCTTCCCAGTGCTTATCAGTAGGGTGAGCCCTCCCAGGACCTTATCACCAGCTGGGATGGACTCGGAGGTACCCTTTCACCTCCACCCGCAGTTCAGTGACCACATGTCATGCCAGGATGGCACCCACAGGGCTGGTTATCTCCTGGCCTTCCTTACCAGGGCCCTGGTGGGATTTTGGAGTCTGGGCACTGGGCCGGGTAATGGGATAAAATGCCACTTGGTGCAGCAGCTGGCCCAGACGTAAATCCAAGAGCCGTACCCCCCAGCTCTGGAATCCACAGGGGTCAAGAACCCTAACCAGCCTCTCCCAGGACTGTCTGCCGGAGGCAGGGGGAGGTAGTGAGACTGCACAGCTCTGGGTTCCGAGGCCCAAGGCCTTTCCCACTAAACTCAGACACAGCTACCTCTGAAACAACTCTACCTTTGGAGGGGAAAGGCTCCCAGGCGGTGGCTACAAGTTTCAGTCTGCAGGAGCCCCGGGGCCAGCCACAGCCACTCTATCTCTCCCTGTCCACCTCCTAAGAGGTCCAGTGAAAATCTTCAGACGTAGGGTCAGCCTGTGCTGGCAGCAGTGTGGTTTATTGGGCAAGGGCCTTCCGAGGCTCCGGCAAGCAGAAGGCCTACTAGCTCTTGGATTTTCCAAGCTTTGGTTTGATATGTGAACTCAGACCCCAAGTGCCAAGTAGTACAGACACGCTGCCAACAGCCAGGACTTTGTTCTCGTTCCTCCTCTCGTGAAGGATTACATGAGGTGGCACCTGCAGGACCTGCATGACGTGTCTCTCAGGTCCCAAGTCTAACCTGATCCTTCTGGTTCCACCCCAAACCCAAACCTGTCTGTACAGCTCAGTGCCGCTGGGCCTGGGTTCCCTGCCCTAGTGAGCCAGTGCCTGTGACCCTTCCTCTCCACTCCCTCCCTCTGTCCATAGCCCTAGTCATCCCCAAGCTTCTGCCTCCTCAGCCATCCCCTAGATGGACCCTTCTTCCACTGAGGAGAGTGGCAGTGGACACCAGGTCAGCGCCTTTATTGTGACTACTCACCAGTTATTGTAGCTTGCTAGAATCTTCTCCATGCCCAGCACTGTCATACTTTACAATCAGGGTCCACTTCAGTCCACCAGGGCCACGCTCACCACTGCACCTTCTTCCTATGTCCCAGCTCACCCATGTGCAGGGCTGTGTGGCCCATGGCACAGCCCTCGCTCCCCTGCTGCTGCTCCACAGTGGAAACCTGCAGTCAGGAGGACTTCCTGGGTGTCCACGAGCCAGCTGTTAACTCCCTCAATGCCTCCAATTGGGTTGAAAGGGAGTTGTTTTATTCTGAGAACTTTCTTTGTTTTTTTAAGTTTTGGCCACACCAGGCGGGACGCAGGATCTTAGATCCCTGACCAGGGATCAAACCTGCGCCCCCTGCTGTGGAAGCGTGGAATCTTTTTTTTTTTTAAATTTATTTCTTTGGCTGCATTGGGTCTTCGTTGCTGCGGCGCAGGCTTTCTTGAGTTGTGGCGAGCGGCAGCTGCTCTTCGTTGCAGTGCGCAGGCATCTCATTGGGTGGCTCCTCTTGTTGCAGAGCACGGGCTCTAGGCGCACCGGCTTCAGTAGTTCTGGCTCACGGGCTGTAGAGTGCAGGCTCAGTAGCTGTGGTGCACGGGCTTAGTTGCTCCGCGGCATGTGGGATCTTCCCAGACCAGGGCTCGAACCCATGTCCCCTGCATTGGCAGGAGGATTCTTTTTTTTTTTTTTTTTGGCAGGAGGATTCTTAACCACCGCGCCACCAGGGAAGTCCCCAAGAACTCTATTTTTGAGAGTAGTCTTTATCAATATGTTTTATCACTCAGTTGTTCAACCAGTGTTTAATGAGCACTTCCTCTGGGCGTGAGAGACCCCTGGAGGACATCCTGAAGCAGCTGTGCTGGGTTCAGAGAGATGCCAGAGCCACAGCCACTGGGGCTCTGCTCTCCAAAGGTGCACTCCAGCTCAGGGCACTGGTATGAGAGTGAACACGGCTCCGTCGCCTCTTCCTAGAGTTGCCCATGAAAGGCATGTGAGTGGCCTTAGGAAAAAGACAGATGCTGGCCCTCCCCTCAGGGCCAAGGCTTGCAGAGGTGTACAGTGAACCTGGCCTGTGTCCTGGGGGGCAGGATGCACCCCTGCACCTCACCCAACTACTGACCAACCCCAGAGACTGGAGACCTGGGGCATCCCCAAACCTGGCCTCCCTCCAGCTTTCTGGGAACCCCACTTCCCTGCGGACGTGCTTTGAGAAGGTGCACCAATGCAGGCAAGGCATGAAAATACCGTGCCCTGCCCAGGCCAGAGCCCTGGTTTTCACAGAACGATGACTTGGCTGGGTTCACCTGGGCTTGGGCTGCAGAACAGTGGCCTGTCATCACCTGCATCAAGGTGTGTCCCAATTACCCTTGGCTTTGGCCATGGAGGCCCAGACTGAACCAGAGTGAGCGTCAACCACAGCCAGCAACTCAGATCCTTGCTGTTCTGCGTCTGGTCTGTTCTCCCCTTGGTCCCAGTATTCTCATCTTTTGTAACTACTTTACCGTATGCTGTGAGGCTAAGCTGCCTCCAAACCATCACAAACTAATCAACATCTTGGTATCTCTTCACTCTGTCCCTATCAGATGAAAAAACTAAAGTCCAAAAATTTAGGCATCTAAACTCTGATTTCATGAGTGCCTCTGAAATCTAAACGTGGTACAAATGTCCCTTGTCTCAGACCCAAATTGTGGTCTGTAAATCGGGATCATGGCAATCACAAAAATGTTGGGAGATAGGGCAAGAGATATGAGGCAATTCCCACCCTTTCCCAGAGAGCAGAGGGTGCCTGTGATGGCTTATTTTGAAGCACTGCCACTCAGCAGGCCAGCACCCGGGCCAGGACCCCACTGAGCTGGGGTGGAGGCTGCAGCTGCAGAGACACATGTTCATAGCCTTTCGTTGCCTGAGGCCCAGCTCCTGTACAGTGCCTTCTGTGAGGTAGACAGGCATCCCAGGAGCTACAACCACCTCTGACTGACTCTTGTTCTACTGGCCCTGGGGGAGGGGCACAGAGAACCTGGCCTTGACCTTCAGGAATTCATATTCTAGGTGAGGAAGTACCACAAGAGATGAGAAGACAGGCCCTCAGGAGCTACGTGTCAATAAATGCAAACTCTCAGAAGTACAAAAACATCTTTTTTGCTGTTTTACCATTTCTGAAATCAGGATGTTATTATATAGCCAACGTGTACATTTAATGTGGGAGTGTCGTCCTTTTTCCTGTCAAGTTATTAAATCGATGATGAATGAAAATCAGTGGGGTTGGCATTTCACAACCGAGGAAGTGAACACAAATGAAGAAGAGAGTGTAGACGGGGGTGGGGTGGGGTTAGAGTTAGGCTTTGAGCTGTGAAGGAAAAGGAGCTGCTCCGTCCAGAGCCGCGCCGCCCGACAGAATCAACATTTGGGCGACGTATGTTATTTTAAATGTTCTAAAGCCACGTTAAAGAAAAAAACTGGATAAAAACAAAAAGCTTTAATACTTTTACTTAAGTCATCGTATACAAAATATCTCAACATGTCAATATAAAAAGGCATCAAGGGAATATCGTACACTCCCCTCCCGTCCTCAGTCTTGACGTCCGGTGCGTGTTACGCTCACTCCCAGTCACGCTGCTCGGCCGCATTTTAGAGCTCGGTGGCCGCTAGCGACTCCCCTAGTGGACGGCGCGGGTCTACCCGGGCGCCTGAAAGCGACCCAGAGGCTGCTTCGTGGGACTGGCAGCCGGTGGGAGGGAGGGAAGGTGCCGCAGGAGACGGTGCCGGCCCTGACCCTCTCACCAAGGCAGGCGCCCCATTCTGGGCCCAGCCGAGTCTTGCCGGCCCCATCGCGTCCTGCCTCGGTCCTCCCCGCGCCCCCCGCGCGCTGCCCCTGCGCCTCGCTACGCCGCCACCTGGAGCGCCCGAGCCGCCCGCTGAGGCCCCCGGGGCGACGCCCGAACCGGACCCTGCCACTGCAGGGGCCGCACGGGCCTCACGCGCGCCGGAAGCGCGTCAGCTCAGTTTCCAGTCTGCAGAGCTGGGGGGGCGGTGTCAATTGGGGATACGCGGTCCAGTCAGAAAGCAACACGAGGGGTTTCGGAGGCGCAAGCGCGGCTCCGCCCCTCAGCTGGGGACTCCGCCCCATTGCCACGTTCGACGAAGGATTGCGCGGGGTGCGCTCATGTCTCGGCCAATCAGGAGTCGCAGAGCCCAGGCCCCCGAAGGTAGCAGCCATTCCAGACCCGCTGAAGGTGTAGGAGAAAGCCACCAGTCACAAGGCCAGGGAGAGAAAGTTCTCCGCCAGGAGCCAATGAGAGGCCGGGAAAGAGTGCGAGCGCGAGCTCCTTGGCCAATCCTGGGCGAGGGTGAGGGAGGTGCCCGTAGCGATTCCGAATCCGGGGCCGTGGCCAGTGTGGACGCCCAATGCGAGAGCGGCGGAGGCGGGCCCCGCAACCCACCGGCCAATCGGAGGTGGGCGCGGGCGGGCGCGCGCTCTGCGGCCTGAGTTATAAAGGCGGGGCGGGCAGTGCGCGCTCTTGTGGCCTGCTGTCCTGGCGGCGCCAACAGGATCGCTGAGATCGTTTCGACATGCTACGCCGTGCTCTGCTCTGCCTGGCCCTGGCCGCGCTAGTCCGCGCGGGCGCCGGCGCCCCCGACGAGGAGGACCACGTCCTGGTGCTCCATAAGGGCAACTTCGACGAGGCGCTGGCGGCCCACAAGTACCTGCTGGTGGAGTTCTGTGAGTGCCGCCCGCTCGTCCGTCCGTCCGGGCCGGGCCTCGCCGTCACCGCGGCGTGGGGACGGAGTGGGGACAGAGGAGGGGCCAGGGGTGCAGGAGCACCGGGGGGACAGGGGGACGGAGTGGGGGCTGGAGGGTGGGGGGGCGCGGGGATTCTGGGCGCCCCGCCCCACCCTCCCTCCCCCGGCCCCGCCAGAGGTGGGCTGGGGGTCTAAAGGGCTGTCAGCTTTCCGGCCACCCCATGGATGCGCTGACTCCTAGCCCCTGGAGAGGCGCATCCTTAAGCGGAAACAGCCTACACACCTGTCAGCGTCCGTGCGCTGGCCATGTCTTGGGGGCATCCCTCCTGCCCAGCTGGACCCTGAGGGTGACCAAGGGCAGACAGCTTGAGTGTGCTTTTATGCCTGAGGTCCACATGGCAGGATGTCTTGGATAGCCTAAGTAAAACAGGGTCGACTGTGTAAGCTGCTACAACTACGAAGGACCACGCAGGGTCCAGTCCCCTAATTGCTCGCCTGGACCAGTTCCCAGAAAACACTGCCCCTGCCCACACCACCTTCCACCAGGAACAGCTGTCTTCTGATTAACAGTGTTGCCAGCCAGAATCCAAAACCTTTGTGTCCATAAGTGTTTGAGCCCTGACTATTTCAGGGGGAAATCTTAGGCCTAACACAGCTGCTAACCTGAGTTCAGAGAGAGTCTAAAGAGCTCGGGTTAGATGTGAGTCTTGTACTCATGGTTAGTCTCACCGAGTATACGGCTGCGTATATGGCTGCCGTGGCTTTAGCTGCCTAACTTCTTTGGTTCCTAAAGGGAAATTCCAGGGACTCAACTGCCCTGATCGCCTGCAGGTAGTAGGAAGTTACTAATCATTGAAGACAAAGCAGAGTGGGGCTGGTGGTTTGTCATTCATGGCCTCTATCGGATATTGCCCAAGAGAACCAAGCTATCAGCTCAACCTGTGGGTTCAGAGGGGTTATCTTGGTTCAAAGATAAGGATTTTATGGAGGGAAGTACCAAAGGAGAAGGGAGGGGAGGCAGTGGAGTGGGTCGGTGCTGCCTTCTAGGTCTTGCTTTCTCTCCCAGATGCCCCATGGTGTGGCCACTGCAAGGCTCTGGCCCCGGAGTATGCCAAAGCAGCTGGGAAGCTGAAGGCAGAAGGTTCTGAGATCAGACTGGCCAAGGTGGATGCTACTGAAGAGTCTGACTTGGCCCAGCAGTATGGCGTCCGTGGCTACCCTACCATCAAGTTCTTCAAGAACGGAGACACGGCATCCCCCAAAGAGTACACAGGTGTGACCGCGGCACGTCTTTTCATTGCCTGCAGTTCCTGAAGATAACAGAGGCGTGGAGGAGAACCCATTCTTGAACCCATTTTAGGTCTAGTTCAGACTCTGAGGGTTGTGTGAGGAACATTCTCTCATTCCTGAACCTCTCAAGTGGAGAGGGTCATCCCAGGGGGGTGGCTAGTAGGCTGAGGCTTGTCCTAAGGTTGACCAGTAAGTGGGGGGAGGCTGAGCAAATGGAGCAACACGTCAGCCTTTGCTGGCTCTCTGGTGTGCCTGCCACCAAGGCGGGAGCAAGGGCCTTTCACAGAGGAGGGGCAAGCGGAGATCCGTGGGTACCGGTCTGGGGCTCGTGCCGGTCGTGGCAGAGCTTGAATCCATGCCCGGCTTCGTCTGCGGCACAGGCCCTCAGTCGCTGCTCGGCCGCCTCCCCTGTGTAGCCTGGTCGGTACCAGTGACAGCGGAGAATCTTTGTCTGTAAAACAGGTTCTGTGGCTTATCTGCTAGAATCCTTTAGAGCAGCCCGTCTTGTTAGTTCTGATGTCAGCAGCTCTGGTCTTCTCAGTAGGCTGCTGTTTCATTGCTCCCACTTTTACTTATGTTCACTTTTGGAATGGAAGTGCATTATGCAGAGTTACCATGGTCCCTGGTCACTAACACTAAGGCTTTGTAGGTGAGACAACTCTTCCTGACTCCACCTGTAACTGATAGCACAGCTTTCACTTATTCTCTGCAGAATGCTTTTTTTTTTAAGCTATTTTTTAAAGATTTATCTTAAGTGTTTTGTTTCTTTTTTGTTTTTTAAAAATATTTATCTATTTGTGGCTGTGTTGGGTCTTCGTTGCTGTGCGCGGGCTTTCTCTAGTTGCAGCAAGCGGGGGCTACTCTTCGTTGCGGTGCACAGGCTTCTCATTGTGATGGCTTCTCTTGTTGCGGAGCACGGGCTCTAGGCACGCAGGCTTTAGTAGTTGTGGCTTGTGGGCTTAGTGGCTCCACGGCATGTGGGATCTTCCCAGACCAGGGATCAAACCCGTGTCCCCTGCATCGGCAGGCAGATTCTTAACCACTGTGCCACCAGGGAAGTCCTAAAGCTTTTTTTTTTTTTTTTGCGGTACGCGGGCCGCTCACTGTTGTGGCCTCTCCCGTTGCGGAGCACAGGCTCCGGATGCGCAGGCTCAGCGGCCATGGCTCACGGGCCCAGCCACTGCGGCATGTGGGATCTTCCCGGATCGGGGCACAAACCCGTGTCCCCTGCGTCGGCAGGCGGACCCTCAACCACTGCGCCACCAGGGAAGCCCCCTAAAGCTATTTTTTAAAAAATATTTTATTTATCTATTTTGGCTGTGCCGGGTCTTAGTTGCGGCATGCGGGAACCAGTTCCCTGACCTGGGATCGAACTCGGGCCCCCTGCGTTGGGAGCATGGAGTCTTACCCATTGGACCACCAGGGAAGTCCCTAAGGCAGAGTTCTTTTAAACATGAGATTTGGCAACACTTTCCAGGTTGGACCAGGTAGTTGCACCCTATGAGGGGAAAAAGGGTAACTAGCCTCAGTCTCAGGAGGAGCAGTTTTCTTCCTTTTTGTTTTATCTGCTTGGGTGGCGTGCATGGGCTGATCTCTTCCTCCTGTCAGTCCAGGAGGCATGTGGGGCGAGGACGCCTGAGCAACCTTGGCGCATGAGGTGGTAGAGCCCAGCCCGTTTTTGCAGGGGAAAGCTGGCCTTGAGGCTGGCTTGCTAACCAGCCCTTTCTTCCAGTCCTGCCACATCTCTGATTAAGGGGAAGCCTAGTGTGAGGCCACTGGGGGAAGTGCACATGTGTTCAACGAATTTAAATGTCGAGGAAAAGTTACACGATGCACAGGTGTTAGTGGAAAAAATGACTTGTAATCTATCATCCAGAGGTCACCACTGCCTTTTCCTCCTTTAAACACAACCACAGTCTACCATATACTCAGATGGGAGTAGCCCTGGCATTTGGGCAGGTATGTAGACAAGATGCCTTTTCTGTGGCAAGAGGATGTTTTGCTCTGGTTTTGGCAGAGAGGTCGGATAAGGATGGGCGGGGAGGGTGGGCGCACCCCTGGTTTCAAGTGGACCCTGCATGTGTTTGGGTGCAGCTGGCAGAGAAGCCGACGATATCGTGAACTGGCTGAAGAAGCGCACAGGTCCTGCTGCCAGCACGCTGTCTGACGGGGCTGCCGCGGAGGCCTTGGTGGAGCCCAGCGAGGTGGCAGTCATCGGCTTCTTTAAGGTAGAGGCTTTGGAACTTCATCCCGGGTCTTCCTTCCTCCTGCTGTGGCCTGGGCACCACAGTCTGCCCTGTTGCTGACCAGGGCAGGGGTTCTCAGTGTTGCGGTGGCAGCCACCTCTGTTTCTCCTCTCCAGGACGTGGAGTCGGAGTCTGCCAAGCAGTTCTTACTGGCAGCAGAGGCCACTGATGACATCCCCTTCGGGATCACATCCAACAGTGACATGTTCTCCAAATACCAGCTGGACAAGGACGGGGTTGTCCTCTTTAAGAAGGTGAGTGGCCCTCGGGCAGCGTCCCCCCCCGCCCCCCGTGGGTAGTTGCGGTGCTGTGCTGCAGGGCTGGTGTTGCCTTCGAGGACCTTGCCCGGGCGGCGCTGGCTGCTGGACTGAGGCCCACCTGTTATCAGGGCCCATTTTGCAACGTCAGGTTGTAGGAGCCTCTTAAACAGTGGCCTTCAGCCCTTCAGCTGTGGGCCCTTTGTTCCAGCTTCTGTGGTGGCCCCGGTGCAGTGTTCTATGGAAGCCAGGCGGCTTCGGAGTGTTAGCTTGTTAAAGGAAAGCTGTGGTGATACCTGTACCAAAGTTTGGCATTTTAACCACTTTTAAGTATAGGATTCAGCGGCATTAATTACATTTGCGATGTTGTGCAGCTGTCACTCCTGTTTGTTTCCACTCTGGAGTATTAGTGGTATGTGTTCCCACCCTGTTGGTAGAGCCTGGCCCCAGGGCTCCCTCGGGCTCCTCCGGGCTCCCCCAGCCCCATGTCTGTTATTACTTGCGTGTGTCTTTGAACCACTGTGCGGTCTTGCTAGGACACAGCTGAGATTGGTGTGTGCATGGCATTACCCGAGTGGGCGATGGGGGTCTCTCTTTTATCTTAGCCAGCAGACAGTGGCTGAGCACCCATGCTCTTGGGACACAGCTGTCCCTGGACTGGGTGCTGAGTGGAGGAGGGAAGGCTGGGGGGGAGGGGCTGGGACTGGAGGCATGTCTTCAGGGGGTGGGGCTGGGCCTTTGACTCCTGTCCTGTTTTGTCCCCAGGGTTAGAAGGTAGTTAGAAGTAGTGTTACAGCAAAGTTGTAAATCGAGTGGTCAGAAAGGACACAGTGTTTGGGGGGCTGATCCCCCCACTGTGTGTGCACTCCCGGTGGGGCACTGCTGAGCCTCCAGCACCTGGGGGTGGGGAGCATGGGGCGGGGGCAGGCCTCCCAGCTGCACAGGGTTTTGGGGCAGCTTGCTTTCAGCTCTTTCTGAAGCCCCTTTTTCGAAAGAACTCAAGGCATTATATATGCTCTCTTTTCTTAGTAGACATCCTCATGATGTCCCCTAAAGGGAATAGAATTGCTAAATTAGTCGATTGTCTTCCCAAAAGTGCCCAGGAAACTGTAATTAACAGCTGATCAGGAAAAAACCCTGCCGAGTTGGATGGAATTGAGTGGAACAAAGGTCCTGGGCTCACCCTGCAGTTCTGGGTGAGGGACTGGGAGACTCAGGCCTGTAGAGCTTGCAAATCCCCTTTCATCAGCTTGGTCCACACAGTTCTTTTCCATTATCCTTGAGATCTGGAGTGGCATTTGTCACACTGGATCGATGGTTTTGGTGATCATATGTCCTTGAAGGTTAGCACGATTGTTCCTTGTTCGGCAAAGACTGTAGTCACGGTAGCTCATCTGTTCTTGGCCTCAAGTCTTTGGTGTTCACGCAGGCTGGGCACAGCCGACCCCCTCCGGTCTGGTGCTAGTGGGCGGGCATCCCCTCTTGCACTCGTTTGCAAGTCCACACAGTGACTGTGCTGGAACGGCATGGCTTCCTTGGGCAGCTGTGAGGAAGAGCCTGGCAGAGCCCACAGGCTTTGTACCGGGGGTCAGACAGCTCCTCAGATGAGAGGAAGAAGATGCAGACTCCTGCCCGGCCTGTGGTCCCCATTCTCTGCCATTACTTGTTCCCCTTCCTTCAGGCTGTTTGCCTAGTTCCTCAGAGTTAGCTGGGTCTTCCAATGGGCAGCCTCGAGAGTGGGATGGGGCTCCCAGGAACGGCCAGCTGCCACTTGAGAGAGAGGATGGCGAGGGTGGGGCTCCAGCAGAACTTGAGCCCGAGATTCCCAGCTTGGGTCCCAGGTCAGCTGGGTTCCAGGTCGTTGGAACTTGGACCACTGGTTTGAGAGCTGATCATCCTGTGTCTTTGGTTGGTGTTTACTTTGTTTTTCTTTTTCATCTTTGAAGCTGAGGGCTTAAGAGTGGGTGTGGGGCCTTTTTGTGACATTCTCATTGTGGTCTGGAGGGGTGGCCTTTGCCCAGGACCCCAGGCCTCCTGCAGCTGGCTGTTTGGTTTTTACCAAAGCAGACACCGAACATAGTGTAACATGGCAATATTACCTCAAAGACTGCGTCCCAACAGAGGCACAGCAGTTTTGGAGGAGTGGAGATGGCGGCCTATTTGCCTCTAATGGGGGCTCCATTTTATGCCTGATGGTGCCCAGCCATGGCCAGGCCAGCCTCTCGCCTCCATTTCCTTCCTATTTCTCTGCACCTTCCCTTTGCGGGTGTGGGGAAGGCAGAGCAGGCTTCAGCTCCCTGCTCCTGGCCCTCCGTGTGGTCCTACTTAGCAGCACGTGTTGTGATCAAGCCATGTGTCAGGCCCTACATAAGTGCAGTGGGAGTGGGAAGTGGCCACCTGCTTTTCTGGAAGTTACTTTAGGAAAACACAGAGGGAAATGACCCGGAAAGGAAGGTGAGTGGTTTTTCTCTCCAAGTCCCATTTGAGTTCACAGGGGTGATGGGAGGCTCACTGACCTGCTGGACAGGCCAAGGCACAGCTCAGCCTTCCTCACAAGGAGCTGTGTCTGCCATCCCCATCCAGAGCAGGGCCGCATCTCGCGGCTCTGCGGCGGCAGCCCTCGCCCTTCGTGGCCTCAGGACTTTGAAACTCTTGACAGGTTACTGGAGTTCCCAGAGCTTTTGTGTGTGTGGATTACACCTATCCATTTTTATTGTGTTAGAAGTGTTAGAAGTTAGAACTGAGAAATTTAAAAAAAACAAATAACTTGTTCATTTTGAAGTAACAGTAATAAATGTTAACATGTTATCAAAAATGACATTTTGAAAAAAAAAAAAAAAAATGACATTTTGGGGGAATTCCCTGGCGGTCTAGTGGTTAGGAATCTGCGCTTTCACTGCAGAGGGCCTGAGTTCAATCTCTGGTTGGGGAACTAAGATCCCACAAGCTAGATGGTGCAGCCAAAAAAAAGATATTTTTGTGAAAATTAATTTTTCCCAAACAACAACATCTTAGGGGTAAGAGTGGTATTTTAGATTTCTGCTGGTCTCTAATGTCTGCCCAAACAGAAGACAGCTGGGTTCTCCTGTTTGCCTTTAGTCTGACGTAATGTCACACCGTACTGCACACTCCGGGGGGAAAGGGTGACAAGGCACCTGCCGTCTGAGCATGATTGTGAAAATCACTCTGACCTTGCATCCACCCTGGGAGGGCCTTGGACCCACAGGGGTGAGGCCCGCACTTGGAGAGCTGCAGTTTTAGGGACTTGGCAATGAGGAAGTCCTCTGGCACCCAGGACGTGGGGTTCTCGTGGCTTGTCAGGAACATGTCGGGGCAGGGTCTGGGTCAGCTGCTGCCATCCTGGCACGTGGGAGGCTGCCTGCCAGTGTTCGTGGGGAGCCTGCGTGCGCTCCTAGTGACCTCACTGTTGCCTGGTTGCCCAGAGGATATGTCCCTGCAGCCGTCACCTGGTTTTGCTTTGGACGGAGGCACGTGGGTCCTGCCCCCAACTGTGCTCATAACCCAGACAGGAAAATGCTGCAGACTGCGTTCCTGGCCAAGTCGGGCCAGCCGGGGCAATAGGGGGCTTTGTGGAGAGCCTCGGCATCCACACCTTTCTCTCTCCACAGTTTGATGAAGGCCGGAACAACTTTGAGGGGGAGGTCACCAAGGAGAAACTTCTGGACTTCATCAAGCACAACCAGTTACCCCTGGTCATCGAGTTCACTGAGCAGGTGTGGCTCTGTGCTGCTGGTCCTGTCCCTGGTGGGGGGAGGTTTTGGGAGGTCATGATGTTCGGTTGTGGGGACCCCCACTTGCAGAGCCCCTGCTGTTGTCCAGGCTTGTGGTGGCATTGGGGCCATTGAGAGAATAGCCTGTGTCAACAGTTTGGTTTGTGACTCAGACCAAGTAACTTGCGTTTCTAACACAGACAGCCCCGAAGATCTTCGGAGGGGAAATCAAGACACACATCCTGCTGTTCCTGCCGAAGAGCGTGTCTGACTACGAGGGAAAACTGAGCAACTTCAAAAAAGCTGCCGAGAGCTTTAAGGGCAAGGTGAGCACTCCCGGTGGCCTGCGGGCGGCTCGGCCCCAGGTTGAAGGCTGGTCCAGAGTGTTCTTCCTGCCTCAGGACAGCCTGTTTAGTCTCGGGGTCCCAGCTGTTGGGAGTGGGCAGCAGGGAGGCAGAGGGAGCCCTTGTCCTACAGTGCCGTCAACGTGCCTTTTCTCCCCCAAGATCCTGTTTATCTTCATCGACAGCGACCATGCCGACAACCAGCGCATCCTGGAGTTCTTCGGCCTGAAGAAGGAGGAGTGCCCGGCCGTACGCCTCATCACGCTGGAGGAGGAGATGACCAAGTACAAGCCAGAGTCGGACGAGCTGACGGCAGAGAAGATCACCGAGTTCTGCCACCGCTTCTTGGAGGGCAAGATCAAGGTACAGGCCATGTCTGGGGGTGGGCTGGGGGTACTGCTGAGGATCCTGGTGGCGCACCTCCTCCTGAGGCTCTGGAAGCAGCTAGGCAGCGGAGGGGTCCCTGGGTGACCGTGCATGTCTGACCCTGCTCTACCTGCCCTCTAGCCCCACCTGATGAGCCAGGAGCTGCCTGATGACTGGGACAAGCAGCCTGTCAAAGTGCTCGTTGGGAAGAACTTCGAAGAGGTCGCTTTTGATGAGAAAAAGAACGTCTTTGTGGAGTTCTGTAAGTGAGGCCCTCCAGCTCCTCAGGGCTCGGTGGGGCAGGGTACTTTCCGGCCGAGCAAGACTCAGAACGGCTCTCTTTCAGACGCCCCGTGGTGCGGTCACTGCAAGCAGCTGGCCCCCATCTGGGATAAGCTGGGAGAGACGTATAAGGACCACGAGAACGTCGTCATTGCCAAGATGGACTCCACAGCCAATGAGGTGGAGGCGGTGAAAGTGCACAGCTTCCCCACGCTCAAGTTCTTCCCCGCCAGCGCCGACAGGATGGTGCGCCCGCCATCGAGGGCTGGGTGGGAAGGGTGTGCAGGGGCAGTGGGGGGCTGTCAGGTAGGACCGCTTCCCGCATCTCATTCCCCTCCGCACAGGTCATCGACTACAATGGGGAGCGGACACTGGACGGTTTTAAGAAGTTCCTGGAGAGCGGCGGCCAGGACGGAGCCGGGGATGATGATGTAGGTGGTCACCGGACCCCGCGGCCCATGGGACATGCTTTCTCAGTGCTGCCGGGTAGCACTACACAGGGGTGTTGCGAGGGTTTTTAGGTGCCAGTGTTTGCTCAGGAATCTTCTCAGGCTCGTCTGGTACGTTCCCTGTCGAGCTGAGGTGCTCTGCTGGGTGTGAGCTCAGGCCTGTCCACATCAGCGAGGGTCACCTGGGGGTAGTGGAAGGGACGTCAGAAGTGCCAGGCCAGGAGGGTGTGGCAGGGTGGGCGTGGTGAAGGGAATGGTCAGCTGAGGCCGCAGGGCCCGCCCGGAAGCGGAAGCGCGGGGATGTGGGACCAGGGGGCAGACCTGCTGGGGGGCGGGGGCAGGTGAGGAGCGCCAGGGCCGTTTGTGCCGCTGTGGTTCATGGGCTGCCACTGGCCTCTCAGACTCCAGGGCTGCAGGGGTGGATGTTACACACCAGCAGTTCCCTGCTTGGTCTTCACGCTGGGGCAGCCCCTGCGCTCACCTGCTGGATGGCGTGGGCTGGGCTGCCACAGCACCAGCTCTGCTTCCACCCTGTCTTGTGGGCAGAAGTCCCCGTGCCTCACTCTCCTCGGGAAGCGCACCCCACATATACGCACATCTGCTCACAGAGACCAAAGTTGGCTGCTTGTGTCCGAGCGGCCAGCTGGTCCCTGGCGTACTTGGCATGGATGTGGGGGCCTCAGCATGCCAGCTTGGCCTGGACCTCTCATTTCCCTTCCTTTTCATCCTCCGTCCCAGGATCTAGAAGACCTCGAAGAAGCAGAAGAGCCTGATCTGGAGGAAGACGATGATCAAAAAGCTGTGAAAGATGAACTGTAACACAGAAACCAGACCTGGGCACCCAAACCCGGCACCTCCCAGTGGGCTGCACAGCCTCCGGACGCCCACAGACCCTCCCGGAGAGGGAGCGTCGATCGGAAATGCAGGGAACTTTTTTGAAGCCACACTTCACTCTAACACACGTGTAGATCTAAACCCGTCTTCCTTTGCTTTTCAACTTTTGGAGAGGGGTTTATTTCCAGGCCAGCCCAGCCCATCTTGGCGGGCCTTTTTTAAAATTGTGATGTACTTTTTTGTACATGGTTCTGTCCAGAGTGCCCGCTAAAATGTTTCGGAATCTCACGCTGGCAATGTCTCATTCCTGTTAGGTTTATACTATCGCTTAAAAAAAATTCCATCTGTGGGATTTTTAGATGTTTTTGGAAGTCAGGGTGTCTGTTCCACCTTGGCCAGGCCTCCCTGGGACTCCTGTCCCCTGTGTGGGGCGGGACCAGGCCGGTCTGGACAGGTCCCTCACCTCATGCGGTGTTGCCATGGTGGAGCGTGGCTCCTGTGTCGTTTGGTTAAATGGTGACTTCAGGTTTCTGTCACAGGGGCCCCCCCCATGACTGGAGGGTGCAGCTGCAGCCCCCTCCTTCCCCAAGCCAGGGTCCTCGTTGCTCTGTGACATCCAGGGTGGCCTGAGGCCTGCACCAGGCAGAACCAGGACCCTCCGTTCCCAGGCTGGGAGACGGCCACGGATGCTTGCTTGAGCCGAATCACATGTTGACAGTTCTTCAGGCATTTCTACCACAATATTGGAATTGGACACATTGGCCAAATAAAGTTGAAATTTTCTGCCTGTTGTTGCCTCTGCCTTACAACCTCCAGGCACGGGGAGTGGGGCTGGAATTCCAAGTTTCTCGGGAGAGGAGGTGGGCTTGGTGGGGGCCACTCTTGTTGAGACATCTCTTTCTTGGAACGCAGCAGAGACGCAGAAGCGTGCACAAATCCTGTGGGCACAGTGTGCGGAGCTGTCACCATCATGACGGGGTGAGGGGTGCCTCTCGGCCCTGTTCCTGTGCCGTCAGGCTGGTTTACCCGTGACGCAGTTCGGCAGCTTTACCCGCCGTGGGCGTCCAGTGGTCACAACATGGATTCTCCCCATGTGCCATGTCAGGACATGATGGTCAGGGACGCGTGGCTCTAACCTTAACCCTCGGGTGGGGAGTGGCCCCTCCCCACCGCTGCCTGGAACCACTGCGGCTTCTGATGAGAAATCAGGGGCGTTCAGACTCAAGAATGCTGTGCTCATCACCAAACCTTCATGTAAAAAAGAATCTGGAGTTAAGGTCGCAAATCTCTAGTTTTTCAAATGTCATTTGACTTCTAGAACCTCTGCTTACTCATAGTTTACATAGGGAAGAGTATCTCGATTGATTTTTTTTCCCCACAGACTCAAAAGTTGCCATCCTGGCTGCAGTGTTGGGCTGATGGCACCTGAGCCTGGATTGGTGACACCTCTTGGGCCTTGGGGAGAGCTCTGAGTGGGAGACCCACAGGGGGCCAGCTGGGCTCAGGTGGGTGTCTGTCCCCCGGCCAGAACAGCCCTGCCCAGCCCGGGGCTTCCCGTCTGTTGCTCTGTGCGCACATCTGTAGCCACGGGTAGGACAGCAGGGCTGTTGATGACGTTATTGGAGGGAACAGGTGGAGATCCAGTCCACTTAGGGAGGTCAAGGACAGACCAAATGTGGCTAGGTCTCCGAGGAGCCCGGCCTGTCGCTCCGTGTGCTCCAGCGGTCCCTCCAACTTGCTGCCTGGAGTAGGAAGTGTGCATGCATTTCCTGATTCCCAGCCCCCACTTCTGATGCTGCTGGGACCTTGGAGGTGGCAGGGGCAGGTCCAGCAGACGTGACCATGAGACTTGCTGTGAATGTGTTTCCCTTTGTGGTCTCGGCCCATGGGGAGGTGGGTGTGTCACGTCCCCCATGACCACAGCTACGCTCCAGCTAGAGGCCCAGGTGTCTGCTCCTGCCCTCACAAACCCCAGGACTGCTCCTGCCTTTCACCTGGGCGTGTGGTACACAGCTGGTGTCCAGGGAGAACCTGGTGTTAGCACCCTTGGCAGCACCAACCAAGCCCCGGCTTGTCCACATGCTCTGGCATCCAGGTACCGCTCCCCAGCTCAGCCCATGGCCGGACTCCCTTCCCTGGTTCTCAGGTGGTCTGTGCTAGGGCTGCTCCAGGGTCTGTGTGTGTTGTGCCTCAGCTGTGCTGACACAGAGAGATGTGTATCCGTGAAAGAGTGAGCTCGGGCACTTGGAGCTTCTGTGGGAGATCGCTGGGGAGGTGTCAGCTCTGCCCTCCTAAACGTGAGCGGGTTCCCCAGGGTTATGCGTGTGGTTTCCAGAGGAGGGAACCCAGGGTGGGCTGAGAGCAGGGCTGTCAGGAGTCACAGCTGCAAGGGGTGGGCTATGTCCCGTGACAGGCGTGGGTGACCCTGCAGACCAGCTGTGTGGAGCCTGGCCCTCCGCATAGAAAGCTCGGGGCCAGGCGTCGCGGCCCGAAACAGGGCCGTCGTGTGCTCCTGGGAGGGGAGCGAGTCACCGATGCCTTTTCCCCCTTTTGCCCAGGCAGCTGATTAGCACATTCCTGGCTCTGGGTTTGCTGGGACGTGGTGGCTGGAGTCCCAAACCCCCGCAACGCTGGTGGATTAGCGAAGTAACTTTGCAAGCTATGGGGTAGGCAGTCAAGGCTTAACAGCCTGGGGTGTCCCAATCTCTCTCTTCCTCTGTCCAGCTGGTAGGAAGCTATTGGCCTGGAACTAAAAAGCAACTGCTGGGCCTGTGTACTGGACCCCTGAGGTCTGGCTTCTGCACCTGCCAGGAGGCAGCTGAGTGGGCCCTGCATAGACTCCCCTCCAGGCCCCTGGCTTGTTTTCTGCTAGACGCAAAGCTTTGCTAGTTGAGTTTCCTTGGACTTTTCAAAGTAAGAGTTTTGCCCTGAATGTTTCACTTGCTTTAGTTCTCCAGAAGGCAGAACCTTAAAGTTGTGCAAACCAGGTCACTTGAGAAGTTCACACGGGCAGAGGCTCAGGGGCAAAGCTGTGTAAATACAGGTTTGGTGCTGGTGTGGTTATGTGAAGAGCAGGTTAGACTGCTCATGGCTGGCTTCTGCCGAAAGGCTTCTGAGTGAGTTGCTGTAGGCCATGTCCATGGCTTTGAGGACGTGCTGCCCGTGTCCTGAACAGAATGACTTTCAGACATCTGTCCCTTCTTGGATCCAAATATCCAAACGGAAACCCCAAAGCCGAGATCCTGAGCTCTCTCAGCTTGCCTCTAGCAGGATAGAGCGGGAGGGTCGCTCTTGGGGTCGCCAATAGACCCACCCTGATGGTTTGCCCTGCCTGGCCTAAGGCCTGTCACTGGTGGGAAAAACCATGCTGTTGGTGGCAGCTTCATCGGAGTTCTTTCATTTGATCCTCTGAGCAGGGCAGGCAGACAGAACTTTCCACAACATCAGAAAAGGCAATCTTCACATCAAAGGAAAGTTCTGTCTCTGTGTACAGCATAGGACTTTGTCTCTGGGCTTCATGTAAACAAGCCGGAAGAAACTGTACCCAGTTCCTCCCAAGTAACCAAGAGTTAGGGCCACCCAGCATCATACTCTGAGCCTGAAATGCAGGAACACTGGGAACCACCCCTCCCTCCGGGCCCCTGCAGGGCCTGAGTCAGGTGGAGTTTCCCATGTAACATTAGTGGCAGCAAGGCAGGCAGAGAAACCCTGTCAGGACAGGGAGCCCACCGTGGGCAGTGGCCTATCCTCAGCAGCATTTGGCCCAAGGCTTTGCACCTCAGGTGCTGATGCGTTTGTTGATTTGATTTTGTTGGATCAAGCTCAGCCTGGTGATGCAAGGACTTCCGGTGCCCAAGTCCCTGCCCCCCATACAGAGCGCTGACTATCCGTGGTTCTGTCAGCATCCAGGCCTTCAGTGACTGCCCGGAGGATCTTGCCAACGTTAGGGGCTGAACCGCACCCCCCTCAATATTCATGTTTTGAGGTGTTAACCCCCAATACCCCAGCGTGTGACCTTATTTGGAAGTGGAGTTGTTGCAGATATAATTGCTTAAGATGAGGTCATACTAGAGTAGCGTGGGCCCTAATCCAATGGCTGATCTCCTTATGAAAAGGGGAAATTTGGACACAGACACCTACTCAGGGACAGCACCATGTGAACACGAAGGTGGAGATGGGTGATACGTCTACAGGCCAGTGAACGTCAAGGACTTGCCACCAGAAGCCAGGAGATGGGCCTGGAGCAGATTCTCCCTGGGAAGGAAACAGCCCTGCCGGCAGCTTGATCTTGATCTCCAGAACTGTCATTTGAGACCCCCAGTCTGGTACTTCATTACAGCAGCCCTGGAAGAGCAATACGGCCAGCTTCAGATGCTGCGGGGGCTGTGTGGACCCCACAGGCCCAGCTCTGCTCCCAGGGCGTGTCCCCTGTGCGCGTCCATCCATTGGCTCTTGTCTCGCACTGAAGCCTGAGCCCCACCTCGGTGGCCCTGCTGGTGTAGCTAAGAACCCTAAGGGCTTTTGGAATCTCATTTCTGCCCTGTTGCCCTCCCAAGAGAAAACTGCAAAAGTCAGTCCGTAGTTTCAGACTTTGGCCGCCGCACTGAAGACAGCCAGTGCTGGCCCAGCCTGCTGGGATATCTCACAATTCCGCTGCTTGTACTCCTACAGGTAAGTATGCTCTAGGTCAGGTGCAGAGGGCACACACCGCCCAGGATGTGACAGCTATGGCGTCATGGTCCTTGGGTAGCAGACTAGATACCATGTTGAGTGTGAGCACCTGTGTTCTTGGCATGAAGCAGCAGGAGCCTGGAACCAGGAGGAATATAGGGGAATGGGAAGGAGGGGAATGAGGACCTGGGTGTGGAGGGGGCTGGGGGGGGGTCCCAAAGTAAGGTCGGATGGGTTGAGTGGGAGCTGAGGCATTTAGATTCTAATCTGGGAGATTTCCAAGCAGGGCAGTGCCACTGAAGCCCACGTTTTGGGAAAACTGCCCTGAGAGTGATACGAGCCATGATGGAAGGTGATAAGTGACAGGGAGATGAGTAGGGATGGGCCGCCTTCTCCACAGCAGGACCCTGTCCTGTGCTTCCTCAGGTGTGGGTGGCCCCCTTGCCTTCCCAGGAGTCAGAGGCAGCTGTGCTCACCACACATCATGCCCTTCTCCCCAAGTTCCCGGGACTGTAGGAGACCCTGACCTTGGTACCTGTTTGCCTTCCTTATGGGCCCTGCCCTTCTAGCGCCTCTCCTGCCCTCTGTCAGGCACCTTCGAGGTCCAGCTGAGGGGCAGGGAGCAGTGGCCAGGAAGGATCTGACCCCTTTGGCCAGGAACAGTGACAGGTGGGTTGAAAGATGAACCACTAAACATGATCCTGAGGGCACGGCTGGAGCGGCTCAGTTTCAGCCCCTCGGGTGTAAGCATGACTGCGCAGCTTTATATAGCTCTGCGGGCCCTATATAAGCAGGAGGCGCCCTGGCCAGCGGGAGCACGGAGAGCACCGAGGTGGCTGTGCTGGAGATCAGCATCAGCCGGAAGAGCCTGCACGCCACTCTGGTCTGGGCACCTTCCTCCCCCAAGCAGTAGGGTCCCCACAGGGGTGGCCCACACCATAGCTGCCAGGATGCCCAGCAGAACAGTCCGCTATGCCCGCTACAGCCCGAGGCAGCGGCGCCGGAGGCTACTGGCTGATCGCAGTGTGCGCTTCCCTAACGATGTCCTGTTCTTGGACCACATCCGCCAGGGTGACCTGGAGCAGGTGGGGCGCTTCATCCGGGCTCGGAAAGTCTC